CCAGATGGAGGCTCCTCTGCTTCCAGGCTGTGCCCTGGAGCGGAGGCGTGGAGTGACTCTAGCTTTCCCTGTCCTCTTCCTCCCTAGAGAGAGGGATGTGGCCTTCTCTGTGCCCAGAGGCAAGCAGCAGCAGGGCGGGTGGGTGCTGGAGGGGGGTATTTTGTGGAGCCCAACAACAGGACAGAGCAAGGTGACAGATTGGTAGCTTCTGCTGTGAAGTTGCATGGGTTTGTGGAAGCACAAGTAAGACCTGTGAGGATATAGGGCTGTTGTCTTTCACCTCCCTTGATTAATGGAGTTGATTAAACTGGATTATTGTGCATTTAGGTTTGATTTGGGGAGTTTATGGAAGATTATTTTTTTTTCCCCAAACACACTCTAAATTTAGTGTCCTAGCTATTTTTTCCTTAGTTGAGTATCCTCTTTTTTTAATTCATGATATAATAACTTGTATACGTTTTTGTAACGTGCCAGTGTAATGTGCTCTGGAGCAGGGAGAAGAGCAGGAGAGAGAAAAAGGCTATGCAGTTATTACGTGCTTTGTTTCTTTTATTATTTCTTTTCCAAAAAGCCACCAAATTGAAAAATGCGCTGGTAAAGTGGGTTTAAATTGAGAGCATTTGCATCTGTCCTCCCACGCAAGCATTAGAAGTCTTGTTTTTGCTGCACAAATGCTTATATTTCAAAGTCAGCATCAAAGTTCCTCAGGCTAAGTGAGGAGATGATTTAGCACATTTTCCTGATTGCAGCTTGTTGTGATTGTGTCTTTCTTTGAATAGTTATTTTGCCTCCCTGTTTCTTTTGGTGTTTCCCAAAATAGTTCTTCCAGGCAAATGCTATAATTCTTATCCTAACTCGTGCACAGTAGCGAGTGTCCTGCTCGTACCTGTTTTTACCTGCTTCTGGCAAGAAGATTGCATGTCTATCCCTTTTGAAAGGTATCTACAAGCCAAAATGAAATGCCTCTACTACTCACTTGGAATAAAATGCAGTTTAACACCGTATACCACATTTTTGTTGATTTTTGGGGGAAGTAGTGCCAAAGTGACTAGGACAGCTTTCCTGAAGCTAGTTGTACTCAGAATCCTGATATGCAAAGGTGAGGACTTTTTAGCCCAGCTGGCGACAATTAAGTGATGTGATCACAGCGTCTTTCACTTCTTTCTTGGCCAGGCTGAATTGTGCAGTGGTGTGGCTAGTAATCTGTTCTCTCTTAAAAAAAAAAAAAAATTCCCCCTCTTGGTGGCACCCGTGACAGCATGTGCGTGTGTGTTATTTGCATATGTTAAAACAAGAATATAGTTTTGCTGTCTGAGCCATTGGAGCCTGAGGCTTTGGGAAGTGCACTGGATGTCATGAGGCTCTTAGGGTTGCCAAGGGAGCCAGAGTTAAGCTCTGGAACTTGGGATTCATAATTATAAGTGTCAGCCTGTGCAGCATGGCTGCTGGAAAATGATTGGTAAATCTGTACTGAACTGGTTTAAAAAAAAAAAAAATGCTGTGGGGAGTCCCTGAGGCCTGCAGAGAAACCATTCATGGTTTAATGTACTTTTTCCTGCCATACAGTTAAGCTAACATAGTGCTTAAATGCCTCACAATGATGAAAGTCTGCTGTAAAGCTGCTAAGGTTCAATTTTGAGGGAAAGGGAAATAATTTGGCGAAGTGAGAAGTATTTTATAACTGCAGCAAATATCTAATGTGGAGCGCATTTATGCTGTCACAGATTCCCTACAGAACCATCCAGAAATGTGACTGAAGCTCTGCCAGGAAGAGCTGTATCCCTCTAAAGTTTGCTGGGAAGTTTTTGGTATCATAGGTTGGGAGTAAATAAAGGAATATATTTAAATAGATAAACTCATCTTAAGTACATTAAATTACCCAGATAGTAAAACTTTAATTTGAGTTGTAGTGGGTGATACATTATGAAATATTAGGTGTGCATATTATGATAGTCTGAAGTTTCTTTCTGTTTGTATTACTGAAGTATCCTAGAAGCTGTCTGCTGGTTAGAAGACTTGGGTGGGCTTTTTTTTTGTTAATCTCACTGTTGTACACTTCATTCTACCTGCCTGAAAAGAAAGAACTCCTCAGTCAAGTTTGCCTTTGCATCCCAAACTGTATTTTTAGGTCTTTCTTCTGGCTGTAATACGACAGTAGCACAAATACCTGGTATTTTGTTCAGAGCCTTAGCTTAATAGATCCATAAGCAAGTTGATGTTTTTCCCTGGTTCTTTTAAATTTTGTTGTCTCTCTGTTATATATGGATTCTAAGCTGTATAATCATTACTTCCAAAGGCTGATTGTAATCATTATTTCCCCCCTTTCTGCACTCACCTCAGGCATTTGGCATTGGGAATAGGCCAAGGGAAGTGAAAGGGGATTGCGAGCAGCACCAAAACAGCAAAGGGAAACCTAGGAATTGCATGAAGGCTTCTAGAGTTTTTGGTCTGCTGTGGAAATTACTTTTGATGATGTCTCTGTGACCGTTAAGGCAGGAAGATTTTTTTTTCACCTTGTATTAAATTTGGTCATTGCTTCTGTGTTGACTTCTAACAATGCTTATGGCTCGCATGTATTGATTATATGCTTAACTCTCTTGTAAGCAAGCGATACCCAGAAGTGCAGGGTGAAAATCATTTGGCACAGCTACTATCCTGACTTGTTATATAACCAGCATGCTTATTTCTTATGCTTATTTCCATGTAATCTTTATTTAAATAAATATGATATCTTCAGAGCCTTTTGACTTCATCCTTATAATGCACTTTAACACTTTGATGTTGTCTGTCTCTTCAGGGATGATTCTGTCCCAGAGGATAATATTTGGAGGGGTATCCTCTCTGTGATTTTCTTCTTTCTAATCATCAGTGTTCTAGCTTTTCCTAATGGTGAGTAAGGTTTATACTGTTTATAATTCACTTTTTGTAACATGTGAATTTCTCTTTATTGCCACTATATTTATTTTGGTTTTTATTAAAGTATCACTTTCAAATGTATTTCTTTGCTTTTTGAATTCCTTTATGTTAAGGAACAGTCTAAAAATGGGTTGCAGTCATACTGAGCAGAGATAATGGTAAAATGCAGGTTATTTATAGCTTGTCTGTATCTAACAAAGAAGTCATGTTTTCAAAATCAGTGTGTCTATTTGCAGGTGCACAGTTGCAGCTCAGATTGCTAAGTAATGATGCTGGTAGATCCTTAAATAAAGTTTAAAAGGAGTCTGCCTCGGTGTGTTTTAACAGAAGTGGCATTCTACAAATTCTCAGATGTATAACACCTTATGTAAATCAGCTTACCAGAAACTAGTGATAAATAGAAATTATCTAAGTCACATTGCAATGTAAAATCACAGTTGCTCAGTAGAATTTTAAGTTGGACAACAGTTTTGGTAATTGTGTGAGGAGCAGAAAGAGCAAAAAGGTAAAACCCATTGTATGACACTTAATTCTGTGGTGGAAGTGTTGTCTTCCTGGTTGTTTTTGATTTTTATTTGTTTTTTTGATTTTAATTTCTGTATTTTTAATTTTTACTTATGCTGTCAGCAAGAGCATAATTCTTGGGTCAAGTCTAAACTGTCTCAGAATTGTCAGTGTTCAGGAAAAAAACAGTGATTGTGCTCGGCGTGGGTTTGTAGTTCAGAGTTGGGATGTATTTTTCTCGTATTTTAAAAAGCATTAATCCTTACTTTTTACAAAGCACTGCCTGAAAAACTGGGTTCCAGATTAAAATGAACTTTATGCATACAGTGGAGAAAGAGCAGTCTACAGGTTGTGCTGAAAATATTTGTTCAGCCACTTCTTGGTACCTAAAAGTATGATTCATGTTTCGAGGTCTTCTAGTTTCACTAGACTTACCTTCTCTGCTTTTCACATTAAATGAGGGGGTTTTAATCTAATAAAGTCAGTTTAATCACTGGCTCTAAAGTAAGTAATATTGGCACTGGTAAAGAGCATAGGTATCTTACTTCTTGTCAGGTATATGATATTCAGTTTGGAAGTTTTAGGAGGCCTGTTTGCTAACATTTCATGGTCATTTGAAGGCTAAGCACCATGTTTCTTTGCTAACACACAGAAATGTGTATTTGATGACTTCATTGGGAGCAAGCCACATGTGGGCTGTGGTCTAGAAACCAGATCAAGAGATCCTCAGGTGACACCTGAGATACAGTGTCTGCTGAGCAAACGGCATATTACTGCTCTGGAAACAACTCCATAAAAATAATTGAAAATTTTGGCTACACCCTACTAATTGTCAGTCTCGTTTTCCTCTCTGTAACCTTTTTTTTCTTCCTGAACATAGAGCCCCAACATTTGGGTATATCGCATAGTTTGGTGGAGAACTGTTCATGCTTATGCCAAATCTGCATATGAGATATACTCGAAAGTAGATTATGTGGTTCTTATTGATGTGCCTTCTAATAGGGTTTTTGTTTACTGTCCACAGGGCCCTTTACACGTCCCCATCCTGCAATATGGAGAATGGTTTTTGGTAGGTTTAAGTTGAGTTTCTGACTTTTTCAGTCCTTCTGCAGGACTGTTCATTTTAACTTTCAGATGAATGGAATTGTCATGAAACATAATTGTGCATCAAACTTATGTGAATGTCTTCCACTTCTGAGTAGTTGCGTATAGACTGTTCTTAATTACATTTGTGAATGTCATTGTAGCATTGTAGTTACTCTGTATTGGGATGGTGTAAATTAAATCACCAGAAAGGGATGATTCATTCTGATGCTCTGTTTTAAACCTGTTTTGTGTTTGTGCTTCCTAATCTCCTTCCCCCACACCCTTTCTACTGCCATCTCTTCCCACTCCAAAAAGGTTTGGGTTTTTTATAGCTACTGCATATACTATCTAACTTCTAGTAGGGTGCTGCTTTTCATTATTGGCTAATTATGCTATTACTTTATATGTTTATTAAATTGTATTGTTGTATAGCTTGACATACATTTATTAATATTCTTAACGCGTATATATTCATATTCTTAACTTATAATTTCAGCAAAAAATACCTGTAAATATTAGTTGCATTCATAGTTTGGAAAATAATTCTATTAACTACAGAACTTACTGAGTGATATCCTGCTACTTAAACATCTGAATTACATGGCAAAAACATAAGGAATTTTATTTTGAAATAATTCAGGGTTCACAGAGTATATCCTAGACTTTGAGCACATTTGCAGAGAATTAGGCATATTTGCTTTAAATCTGATCTGTGTCTTTTTAAGGGGACTGAATATTTCTTTCTCCCTCCACCATACATAGCTAAAAATAAGTAGCCTCCCAAAGTAGCTGATTACTCATCTGTTGACTTTGAGAGGATACTGCTGATTAGATAGTACTTGTTAAAGAATCCTGTTCCTTGTGAAGTTTGGGAAACACAGGTCCTGCTGCTTGTTTCAGGTTTCAGCAAATGAAAATTAAAAAGTCATTCTCAATGTTGATACTGTCAGAGCTTGACGCCCTGTACTTTTGGGAGAAGGCTGCATGCAAAATCAAGAACATTTTTCACTGTGTAATTCTGCTGCTTCTGGCATTGCATATTTAGCCATGCTTTTGAGTCTCCAACCTGTTCAGTAGATGACAGGCAGGAGTAGTGTGTTCTCAACATTTCAGGATGCACCATGGCCTGCAAGGCTGTACTACTTGTAGTAGTTTGTTATCTGTTTACCTGGTGTGTTTTTAGGATGTACTGCAGAGGACAGTAGATATACTTTCTGTTCATGTGTCTGTACTTAAACAGAAGTCATTCGCTAGTGTACAGTGAGGATTAGTAACACATGAGTTCTGGTTGTAGTTTAAAATATCTTTTTAGAATTGCTATAGCTTATTTTGGATGGCAGATACTAAGTTTATTCACATTAATTTTTCTACCTTCCATGACATTGCTGCAGGACACAAGTAAGTTTGAGTGCTAGACTATGGAAATGGTGTTAGTATTTAATGCTTCTTCCACATGTGGTCTTAGGTATCTGTGAACTTGTGAATAATGTAAAGATATGCTCCAAACAGCAGCTTCATCTACCCACAGATCTACACCTAGGACTTCTTACAAGTCTTTCTTTTAAAAAAAAAAAAATCCATATTCAGACATTGGGAGGAGAGAGGGAATAGTCCCAACTGCAGTAGTGTTTCATAATTTATAATGGTGTGAAAACAAATCATAATAATCTTTATCTTTAAAAGCTTCAAACAGCAAATACTCCGGCTCACAAAAGTAACTCAAGCATGCATTAGTTTATAACAACTCTTTATTGCCAGCATAGCTCAAAATTGCCAGGTGGGATTATTAAATTGATCTTCGTGTTGAAATCTGCGTATAGGCTTAGGGACCTGCATTAGTGAGAGCAAGAATATTTAAAGCAAAGGGACAGAGCTAATCCAATCCTGGGATCCTAATGTATTTCTTACTAAAAAGCTTCCTGATCACAAGGTTGTGATCACAACTTCTGTCTAAACTGATTGGACTAATTTTGTTTTGATTGAGGTCATGCAGTTGAGCACATAGCCTATCACTTGAAACAGGAGGTGATATGAAGGGCTGAGTGGTCAGAGATTACTATCTGACTTGTGTCTCTTAAGTTTTTTTGCATGTAGCCACTGTATGTAGAAAACTCACTTGTGCAAACTGGGCATGTATAGAGCAACAATTTCAAAGTAGCTTTTTGGACTCTGTGTCCCAAAGAGTTTTGTGAGTGAACATGATTTTAAAGCTGAGTCTTTTTGCAGGTCTCAGTGTGCTCTATTTTCTGTTCCTGGTGTTCGTGCTCTTCCTTAACTTTGAGCAGGTAAAAGCAGTGATGTACTGGCTGGATCCTAATCTTCGATATGCCACAAGGGAAGCAGATATTATGGTATGTATCCATGGCACTTTATTGGACATTTTGGATATACTTTAGGCATGTTTTACATGAGTGAGAAGAGGTAAATCTGAATTTGCTGGCATGAGCAGTGCAAGTTTGTGCCTATACTTGACAGAGTCAACGAGCCATTTGTATCACCTGCTATTTCTTTACAATGAAATATCTCATTTTTTTCTAATGCAGATATTCAGGTGAGTGTGCAGTCGGGAGTGTGAGATATGCCTGCACTGGGGCGGCTTTGGATTCCTTTAAATAATAGATATGAGCCTGGATACTGAAAATAGACTTAGCAAGGTCGTATCTAAATGAGGCCTGTATGGTGTGTATCCCCCAGATCAGTTTTTTTGATGCCACAATGCTGGACTCAAAGAATTTTACTTTATTGCTCTGAGCTTAGTACATGACAGGCATGCTACTGAGTATGTGGAAATCCAGGTACAGCAGCCACAGGGCTCTGCTGCCTTCCAGTTGCCCAGCTAAGCACTGTTGCTGTTACCATTGGGAAATTACTTCCATAGGCCAATGTCTGGAACGGCATAGAAAGACAGGCTTGTTCTTCTGCCTGTTGAGCAGCTTGCAAAGAGTTTTCAATACAGAAAACATTCCCCTTCAGGTGAGGACACTAGCACAGATAGTTGAGATAGTAAAAGGAGGCCTGGGAGAAGTATGTGAGGTATGTTGGGAGGCAGGCAGAAGAGTATGTGAGCAGCTGAGCACCAAGCAGAAGAGGGTTATTGCATGGAGAGGCAACAGTTGCTGGTCTTGTCCCCTTCACTATCACATCAAATTACTGCCCACCACCTGACCAGTGTGCTTCCTTGCCCTTGGGTTTGCACATCTGCGTATCATGGTCACCTGCTGTATAGTAGGTGCTGTTGTCGGACTCAAGCCTCAAGAGTGAGGAAATACACTGAATTTGGCAAATAGCAATTTACTGCATGTGGAAACTACTGCACAGCACCTAATCAGCAGTGAATGCAAACTCCTGCCCTGTAGCGCATAAGAGGTAATGGAAATCTTTACAGTGCAGTAAGCTTACATTAGTTGACTGATAGTGAGGGCTGCATACAGACTCCTTACCTGGAAAACTCTGGATGATTCAGGTGTTGCACCTCAGCTGATCAGCAGTACGTGTTGTGCAACTCCAGCATCCAGAGTAGGGCTGTGACTTTCTGTTCTGCAGGAGATGTGTGGTGGTGGTGAGGTGTGGGCAGTCTGCTGTTAGGGTGGTGGGAGGACACATTGCTAAATGTGAGCATGAGCATGGGGGTGTGTGATGTTGCTGAGCAACAAAAGGGAGCTGAGATGAGGAGTCTGTTAGTAAGTCAAATTCACCTGGCTCTCCTGTCATTAAGTTAGAAATAAATAGATTCAAGTCAGGGGAGGACTAGTATTACTACTGGCACAGAACCATAGTACAGCAGATTCCCTGACTGTAGTAGCAGTCAGCAGAAACTACTCTGTACTACTTTGCAATTCTGATACTGTCACTTGGAGTAAATTTTTGAAGTGCAACTATAATGAAGGCTGCAGCTTGGTCTCTTGCACAGGGCTGGCAAAGTTGATTGAGTATAAAAGAAAGTTCAACACATTTCACTGTATGACTGTCAGAGCTACAGCTGGAAAAATGAGGTAGAGGGGGAAAAAGCCGCACTAAAACTAAAAGCAAAAAAGCAAGTGCCCTGTAAAAAGGCTTATGTCTGGAGTAACCTCATTGTGTTCACTCATCATAGAATTTCAGGTATAATGGTGTAGCTAGGAGCCTGCACCTTCCATTGTGCATTTAGAGCTTCTTGTGCTGGCAAATGAGCCAGTTTCAGAGCTCTCTGGGTATGTGCACTAATGCTGCAGCTTTGCCATCCTTAGGACAGGTGGTGCACCTTTCTCTGAATGACCAGCAGCACTGGCACGTGCGAGAAGCAATACCATGCTTTCACTTAGGGAGCACCAGCAGTAAGGGTTACTTATGGTTTCATAGCGGGACTTAACTGCCTCTTGATAGAAATATTTGTGTGAAATTGTGCATTCTTTTCTTTATGGAGACCAGGATTTAAATCCTTCTATGCCATCCCCTTTTCAACTTGGTTGGTTCATTTGTGCAGGCTTAGCAATAGTTCTGACCTGAAAGAAAATCTTTTTAATTCAGCAGCACTGAGCAGTGCTGTGTCGTCACCTGCAGGTGGCAATGTATATTTTGGAGTGTTGGAGAGCAGAGATTTTTTTAAATGTGTGCTTCCAGTTGGTAATAGTTCAGTTTGTGCTCAGTGATGAGACAGAACTTGACAGATGCAGCCTTTTGATGGCATACAGATTTTTTTTGTTGTTGAGCAATGATCTCTATCACTTGCTATACAACATGATGAGAGAACACATTTCCTTTGCTATTGATTACTAGGATATTAATTAATATTCTTACGGAATCTGCAACTCATCTGTGACAGAACAGTTGCAAGTTACCTTTGATTTTTTTTTTTTTAATTCAGCCCTGTGACTGAAGTTTCTCAGTATGAATGTGTTCTGGGAAGTTGCTTTCATGAGGAAAATAAGACACGAAGGATACTCAAAAGAATGAGTATTATTGAGATGAGTAACATAACATCACAAACTAGGGAGGATTAGCCACTGATGGGCCATACCTGAACAGACAGCATGAAAATGGGGAAAGGTGGTTGTTTTAAATCAAGACCTCAAAGAAAAGCAAATAACTACTTTCTGGAGTATTATTTGCTGGTTTGATTGTTATTGATTTTATTGCTCCTGCTGTTCTTCTGTCATGTAAGAAATACATGCCTCTTCAGGCACCAAGGTCTATTCTGTCTCCCTTTAAATTAGAGCTGTACTGTGATGACACTGAGTCTTAATACTGAAAGTTTTCCTGCAGAGTTTAGGAGGACAAGAAAGCAGAATAATGCATATTTTAATATCCTTATAATTTCAGGCTTGTCGTGCTGGATAGAAAGAAGTTTCTTATTATAGTGTTTCTGAAGTTGCCTGTTCATTGAGGTTTCTTGTTGTTGGTTTGTGTTTTTTTTTTTTTATTAACAGGAGTATGCTGTGAACTGTCATGTTATCACCTGGGAGAGAATCCTCAGCCACTTTGATATATTTGCTTTTGGGCATTTCTGGGGCTGGGCTATGAAGGCTTTGCTGATCCGCAGCTATGGGCTGTGCTGGACTATTAGCATCACCTGGGAGCTCACTGAGGTAGGCCACTCATTTATCTTAGTTATAAGCAAATGTATGAGACTTGAATTGTTCTTCGGGGAAAGTGTGAATGTTACTAGAAGGATGACTCACTAGTTCTTAGTATAGATGTACATTTTAAGCCTTATAAACCAGACACTGAGCAATTTGTGCAGTTGCATTAATGGACACCAGCAAGCTAGGGTTTAGGTAAGTGACTTTACTACTACTTGAATAGGAGGGAAGCCTAGGCCAGCCTATTGATGCCATCCACAGTTTGTTTTTCTGCTCTTATGGGAGTTAACGCTCATGCTACTTCAGATGTTGACTAATATTCCCTGATTCAGGCAATTCTTCTCCTTTTTCACCTTGCAATATCTGTGATCTACTGTCATTCCCTTAAAAAAGCCCTTTTGTTAAATCATACCCCAAAAGCCTAGTTCATTCATGTTCACTGACATAAAAATGTGATGATTTTTTTTTTTTTTAACTAGACCTGAATCTAAGCTAGTTAACATGCAATGTAGTCCCCTGCTCCATGGTTTGGAAGACTACTGACTTCTTTTTGTTACACAGCTTTACCACAGTTCTCCCAGGCACGTGCTTAAGTCATTGACTGTTGGCACTTTCAAATTCTATTTTGGATTAAAAGTACAGATACTTAACTTGATTCAGTCAGCTGACTGTTGGTTGGACTGCTGGTCTTTATTGTTAGATCTATTTTAAGAATTCAAGCTGATTAATTGGTACTTTAAATATTTTCATTTGCATGTAACGTAGAGCTTGATTGGTAGAATATGTGTCATCTAAAATCCAAGTATGCATTTCTATAAAAATGAGTTTAATGTCATTATATTCTTTGATTGGACAATTCAAAGCAAACGAGGAAAAATCCAAGTTCTATCAGCTTTTGGGACAGCATAATCTAACCTGTTACACTTAAAATACCTGAAACACCTGAATTTAGTCTTTAAAATCATAGTTTTCTGTAGAGCTTACTGTCTTGAGAATGCTTGACTCATCTGACAAGGCATTTATAATTCAGAAATGTAGATAAGGGTTTAGTTGTCTAGAATTAAACTTCTGTGTTTGAAAATACTGGTCCCATGAGTTCCTTTGCAAAACATGTTTTTGCTCTGTGACATTGAAGGATATGCTGTTTTCTAAGGTATTTTGAAACCCCTTAAATTTGGCATTTCACAAGTATCCATCCACAAAAAACAACTTTGCTGGTTATTGTAGTATTTTTTTTCCTCTGGAAAAGAATAAATTTGTATTTGTTTCACAAGCACTCTTATCACTCAGTTGATCATCACACAAGCATCATTTTCAATTTTGACACCACATAGGGTGTTTAGTATTCCCTGTTGTTGAAAGGCAGATTACTGGAACAGACAATGTGTTGGGTAAAGTTCAACATATAGGTAGGTTATCACCACTCAAATGGATTTTTAACGAATTCATTAATTCAATGAGAGTCATTAGAAACCTACAGAAGTTATCAGGGCAGTTACATAGGGATTTAGATGTGCATCTCCTATTAGCATTAATGGATTTCAGCTGGCTACCCATTCTGAAATGGAACACTTGTCTCATGCTCTGTACTATTGGATTAAAGTTGGGATGCAGGCAGACCTTGGTCTCATTCTGAGAAAACAGCTAGCACGTTAGAGATGGTCTGACTAACACCTGTGCTCTAGTTTTTGCTGCCGTAACATCTGGTGTCTTTGGCCAGATTATTGCAGACTGAGATTTGTAGCCTAGCACCCTTCTCATCTTAATTTAAAACATTAAAGAGAAACTAGCAGGATAATGAGCAACATTGTATAGTTTGGGTCCTGAAGAGAAGTTCAAGTTTTCTTTTCTACGGGTTGAAATTCCCATAGCCTTGTCAAAGGAAAACAAGTTGATTTGATATACTTTCGAAAGAGTTTTCAAAGGAACTGTCATTGTCAGTATCAGTCATTGTAATTTATTATAAAAGGACCAGTATTCATTCTTGCAGTATACAGGAAACATTCTTCTTGCTCCTTTTCCCACATCTGACTTTTTTCAATATTTTATTTATATATTTGATAACAAAAGATACCTTATTACAAAATCATACCAATAATCTTTCACAGAAAACAGTGTATGTACATTAACTGACAAAAGTTGTACTGGTTTTGTGGAGGTAAGAATATTATTTAGTTTGCTATGTGTTTTCTTAAGCACCTCCTTGAGTATTCCAAAGCGACTGCGTAACACATGGCTGTCTTGATTTCTGGTCCACAGCTAACTTTTTCAGTCTATTTTTTGGGTTGCTGTGGTCTTTCTTGTAGAATAGAGAATACAATTATTTTCTCTTAAATAAGAGTGAGAGCCACTGAATCCATTTCTAGCTCTCAGTAAATTATGTTTATATCTTGCCTTAACTCTTGCCAGTTGTCCTATCAAAAGTGTAGACTCACCAAATGTATCTGTAAATACATAAATGCCTTACTAATGCCTCACAGTGGTCTTTAGTTAAGTTGAGGATTTGGAAAGAAACAGATCACTTCAGAGGTAAATGATTTGTACACTTCCCAGGGAAAGGCTTTAAGGGGCTGAATATGTTCTGATATATCCAGATGGTATGAGCTGTTCAGTCTGATGTTGGTTTGTTTCTGGCCTATTTTCCAGTATCTTCGTTGTAAACGTACCTTCATCATTAGTGCTTACCGGAGACCAAGTAGGAAGGGGGAGTAGAATATCCTCTTAACTTCTTGAGCTGTTCTGGATCAAGTATAGCAGCAAAACTTGTAGTATCTGAAATATTGGTGAACTCTTAATCTTTTTACAGTCACTAAATTTCCTGAAAATAATAAATGTAAGAATGAGTTTTGAAATAGAACAAGTATTAAGTCCTGAACTCCAACATGCTTTAGTACTGACAATTTTTACAAATGCATCAATTCTACTTACTGCATCTTGTTGGTGGTTTAGAAAACATGCTTCTTAAAACTGTTTAGCAAAAATAAAACAAAGGTTCTGTCCAGTTTTATTTTTTAAAGCACAAAACACCTTCCTTCCTCCAGGAAATGCAGTAGTTTTGCTTGTTTCATGCATTTCTATGAATGTTCTGTGTATCATCTTTGAGATGCCAAGAGCTGCATGACATCCTTATATATAGCATAGTCCCAACAGGGAACAGTGAAAAGGAAAGCTCTGATGTCTTGTGTGGTTCTATCCAAGGCCTTCTGAAGATCATGGAAGGATGCCCATCAAATTTCAGTGATTGCGGCTCATGTCCTTGAAATATGACATACTGAAAAGCAGATTTTTGAATGTGTACTTAGAAAGTGAATTTGTGTGAATTCTGTGCTGTTCCTCACCCAGAATCTTTTTGCTGTATTCTGTAGCTCTTCTTCATGCACCTTCTGCCTAATTTTGCTGAATGCTGGTGGGATCAAGTCATTTTGGACATCCTGCTTTGTAACGGGGGTGGCATCTGGTTGGGCATGGTAGTTTGTCGTTTCTTGGAGATGAGGACCTATCACTGGGCAAGCTTCAAGTAGGTCTAAATTAAAGCTTGATAACCGTTATGTTTGATGTTATAATATTAAATTAATTTCCTTAGGCTGTTGACCTTCTTTGCATATGTAAAACGCATGTGGTATAGAAATAGCATACAATCTGCATGTGCTAACAATGCTGTAAATTTATTTTAAATTTTAAAAGTCCATCTTGTAGTAATGCTGCTGTACAGCATATATTTGTAAATATGATGATGTATATATAATTTTCCTTTGCAATCTAAGTTACAAGCCTTGATGACAAATTAAAATATAAAGTAGTAAATCCATTTACATTTTCAGTTTATTTTATACAGTTTAAACTTTGAAGAAGGCAGTGAACAAAACTAATTGTAGTTGTTTTCTCATTATACAATGTTTTTAAATTAGATTTGGCCTCAGCTTGATGAGGCATTAGTGTGGCAATCTGTCAGCACTGGTTGCAATTGCAGAAGAGGAATCAGGCTGATTGTACCTGTGCTGTGAATTGCCTTACCCCATTGCTGACCCTCTAAAATAAATGGAATAATTGCAAAATAAAATAGCATTTGTTGTGTAAAAGGGCAACAGCTTGTGGCCTAGTAAGTATCAGTTCCTAGCTGTCCAGGTACGGTTTCTACCGTAGTATTTTGCCCCTCTCCTGCCTTTTTCCCTGCCAGTTGGTGGCAAGCCTGGTTATCTGCACATTACTGGTGTAGGTATAGGTGAAACAGGATCAAGTACAATGAATTGCCAAATTGCCTTGAGAGATGGAAAAGGAGCTCAAATCTTGACTTTTGGATTTGTACCCTACGTGAACTTCTGTGCTGTTTTCTTTTCTTACTCAGAAATTTAAGTGCTTTGAGGACCATCCAGCCTTCAGTCTCAATTCAATTTTCCTGCATTTCAGTTCAGGAGGAACAATGAGCGTTATAGAGTTGATGGTCCCTCTGTTTTTAGAGAGTTCACTGAAAGTTAAAACAACAGAATATCTATAGCAGGACTAGTCTGTACTGTCTTTGTGGAATAATTTTTCCTCACATTCTTTTAAATGCATGACTAGATTTTTTTGAGACCTTTAATATGAAGAGGAGCTGCATAGAATGAGAAGCTTTTGCTTGTGCCCTTTCGTTTTCTTTTTTTTTTATTGAATAAACATGAAACTAAAGATTAGAAGGTTCCCTGTTACCTAAGATCCCACTAGTGCCCACTAAAAGAACACAAGTATCAGGAATATCAAATCTGAATCTCTGTTTTTGTCCAGAAGGGCCAGAAAAATAACAGGGTGAAAACTGACTTCTAGCCCTGTTAGTCCTCCTTCAGAAAAGGAAACTGCCCTGTCCTTTGGATGCTGTTCCTGATCTGAATTAATGTTATCAAAAGCAAGAACCAGTAACACATATGTCAAATGAACCTCCATTCGCATCCCCTTTCAAAAGGGAATTTAAAAGCCTTCTAGCTTTTAAGAGTGTTATCGCATCTCTCCAGAAGATTTGCATGCATCTAATATCAGAACAGCAGGGGTTGTAGATGCAGTATTTTCAAACCTGTGGAGCCAGCCCTTTATACAGTTAATGAATAATGAATCTGACAGATTCTTGAAGTATGGGTGTCAGTGAGCTCTAGAACAAGGAGGCTGTGGAGAAGAGCAGTGGCAGCATACACTAAGAAGAAATATCCTCTAGATTTTCCAAGGAGGGTGCAGAATTGCAATCCATGTTTCTTTCCTTCATGGAGAGAATGATAGATTATGTTTTGTAGTTAGTCACTGACTGAGGATAGAGGAGGCTGGGCTTTCATAGCAGAATGCACCCTGACTGAAGTGCTTAATACATATGTTTCTTAATTCACCCTTGCCTGGTACACAGTTGTGTCTGTGAAGATCTTTGCAGTCCAGCAAAAAAGTGTGATTGTTCTGAAACATTAGTAACATGGCTATTGCC